TGGTAACTGAGGGTGTTATGTTCAAGTTTGCTGAGAGGAAGGTAGGATAGTGATTGGTTGTTCTGTCAGGTGATTATACCAGAGACAAGGGGGGCTGTTATATTAGTTACTATGTGGTCCAGGGTTGTAGAAGATGTTTGAGTAATTTGTGAGGGCTTGGTGATTGTGGGAATTAGCATACAGGAGTTCATGCTGTTTAGGAAATACAGTACTGTACTGAATTTGACTTGAGGGCTAATTTGTTGACAATGTCAAAGTCTCCTCCTAGGATGATGTGGTTTTTGTCGAGTTTGTTGTTTATGATTAAGTCCCTTAAATTATCCGAGAATACAGTTGTATTAGTACAGTACTGAGAATTTTATACATAGCTCCAATACCTCCTTCCAGTCCCTGTGGCAAAGTGGTAACACACTCGCCTGGCGTTTTGCAAGTGCTTTGGCCTGGGTTCATATGCTGGCCGGGGAGGATTTACTGGGCGCCAATCCTTAACAGTAGCCTCTGTTCACCAAGCAGTGAATAGGTACCTGGTTGTTAAACGATTTGGTGGGTCGTATTCCGGGGAAAATTCAGATTAAGGACTTGCCCGAAATGGACTTGCTAGTGCCTGTACAAGATTGTAAGCATTCTTGAATATATTTAAAAAAAAATAGTTATTGACAATTTAATTAAGGGATTTGACCAAAAATTGAGCAAAGGTATATTCACAGTAGTCATCTCTATTGCTAATAACACTTGCGCAAGTGAAGTTATCCAAAACAAGTTATCACAAGCTTCTGTTCACCTAACTGTAAATAGGAACCTAGCTTCTAGATTCCCATTTACAGTTAGATGAACAATTGTAGGCCGCATCCTAGAAAAGACCCGCTATTGGGCAGAGGGACCTTGATAAGCTTAACAGACTTCCTGTCCCCAATAATGTGAAATCACATTGGGAAATCTTAATATAGTATAGTAATGTATAGTATTATTTCCTTAGGCTAAGAAAAATCTGTAAATTCTTTTATTAAAAGAATGCTTGCCTAACAAACTTTCTTCGTGCAAGTTCTTTGGTTATTGTTGATTATTGGACACTTTGAAAAGCTAAATTATTGACTTTCATGAACTACGTTATATAATGTTAATTGTAAAACTTATGGTATGAATCAGAAGAAGAGGCGGTCTATAAAATGACACTGGAATACATGAGGTACATACAAAACCTATGGCAATTTTAACCAAATATACTGTAGTGGTATCCCGAGATTTGTTGCAAGATTAGGGTCCAGATATCATGGAGTCAGTCTCCAGATGGTGAGACATATCACTAATATAAAAAAAAAAAAAATACTGCTAGTATAATCATGAAATACACACTGTATTATAGTCTATTTTATATTCCCCTTTAGTTCCATGCTATTGGCAACACTGACAGAATCTGGTTCCAGGCTATTCTGCCCAGTGAATGTCAAGAGACTAGTATCCTATGTTGTCGGAGACTGGCACTAGGCATCCCAATGTTAGATGGTTCATTTCATGGGAACCAATGTGCTTTTAGATCTGATATTATTAACACAGTAGCAGGGTGTTAGTACTATTTTGTGTTGTTTTCATATTGTTTGGTGTCATTTATTTTTCCACCCTTCTGCATGTATCTGGAGACTAGTGATTGGAAATCCATGTTGGATGAATCATTCCTTTGAAACCTGTGACTGCTCGGGGTTTGATATTAATATACTGTACAAGGAATCATGGTGTGGTTGGCATCATTGACAACATTTTCAAATGATTTGGAGATGGTTTGAGTACCCAGACATTAAAAAAGGTGCCAATTTCAGTACCAGTGTTTGGAGTTGCTTTTTATCCATGACCGTCTTCCAAGGTGTCTACCTATGTCCTCCTACAGACAGTTTAAGGACCATACATTTGCCTGAATACAAAAGAGAGCAAATTAAGATAAACATAACCATTGAAATTTGATACAAAAATATGATTTTCATATGAACCATGCACTGAATCATGGAAAATATTGTTATAACATTTATTGTTTCAGTTACTGTATCTACTTTTCATGATTCAAAGTTTTTTGAAGTATGTACTGTATATTCAAAGAGTTCCTGTTTTTTGTGGTTTTGTTCAATGGACTTTTGCAAATGCCATAGCTTTCTTTTTTTTTAACAGATGGTTGGTAACTGAAGACTACACAGAGATGGGGCAACTTTGCCAGCAGTAAATATATACAAAACCCATGTGCTGTACATGCACTTCTGCATTGCACTTGATTGTGGAGTGTATATGAAAATAAAGGCCAGCCATCATAATACCATATACAGTAATGCTGGGGATAGGCATCCAGTTTATACATAAAGTACATGTTAGATATATATCGAGGTTCCGCCCAGGGTTGAATTACTGACCCTCCCCAGGTTGCAACCCACAACAAGCTAACTAACTCCTGGGGTACCTATTTACTGCTAGATGGAGAAGGGTATTAGGTGATAGGAAATGCTCCCAACCATTGCTGTCCTGCCCAGGATTCAAATTCAAAATTCTTGATTGTGAGTTGAGAATGAACCCAACTGTACTACTGGGACCCTCTAAGAGTCTCTCTATAAGGATATACCTTCTAATGATATGCTTCATCACTCCATTTTCTTCAGGTTTCTATGATAACTAGACACCATAGAATCTAGACTTGTAACCAGAATAGGGAGAAAAAAATATACAACAATAAAATATTCAGTACAGTATTATACTTTTTAAATTAAGTGAAGTTGGCATGAAAATGCGCATAAAACAATGTTTGCTAAGAAAAAAAAAAAACTCAGATGCAATGGAATTTTGGTTGCAACAGAAAGGTTACATTACAAATATGCCTGTGCAAGCAGGGGCATATTATAGTAGAATATAGTACAGTAAACTGTGTCAGCAATCTTGGTGGTTAAAATTTTTAAATGTAAATTTTGCCCTTAACATGTTTAGTGAATTTCAACTTGCAAAACAAGACAGCATAATAATAATAATAATAATAATAATAATAATAATAATAATAATAATAATAATAATAATAATAATAACAACAACAATAATACTGTAATATATTTTGATTAAGATTTATGATGGATTAGTTAGTAGTCACTTAGGTACAGTATTTCAAAGCAAATATTCATTCAGGTAAAAGTACATACATAGATAAGTTACAAACATAATGATTGATTTATAGAAAGAGCAAGTACATATAACACCTAAAGCCACTAGTATGCAAAGCGTTTCGGGCACGGTTTGTATACTTTATAAAGTATACAAAGCTAAAAATCTTTATAAAGCCACTGTTTAAATGCAGCATTTTGAGCATAAATAATTGACCTAGTAACGATGTCATTGATGCCATATTAGCACCTCGACTCCCCTATAGAGACAAACTAGAGAAAGAAGAGCAGTGTGTTCCAATAAAACAACCGACTGAGTTGTCCCTGTGGTGCCGTGGTATAACACTTAGCGAGCGATTTGGCCCGCGTTTGTATCCTGGCCGGGGAGAATTGACTAGGCGCCAATCCATAACTGAACGCCTTTGTTCACCCAGCAGTAATTGGGTACCTGAAGTTGTTAAACAATTTGACTGGTCATATTCCTGGGAAAATTAGGATTAAGGACCTGTCCGATTTTTTTTTTTTTTTTTTTGAGATATATACAAGAGTTGTTACATTCTTGTACAGCCACTAGTACGCGTAGCATTCCGGGCAGGTCCCTGGAATACGATCCCCGCCGCAAAGAATCGTTTTTACAACCAAGTACTCATTAGCCTGTTGAGTTAAACAGAGGCTACAGTTAAATATTTGCGCCCAGTAAATCCTCCCCAGCCAGGAGGAGATGCTGTGTGTGTTAGTAGCTTTACAAGAATGTAAGAACTCTTGTATATTTAAAAAACTAATAATAAATAAAATAAACAAGACATCATCACTAGAGGAAGGAACACACATTTTTGTATGTTGAAATTTTGGTTTTGAGTCAGGAACTGGAGGTAGGGTGTTCAGTGCCACAGTTTTCACAAAAAACTTGCATAATTTGCCTACTGTTTCACATCCAGACAAGATAATTATCGGGAAACAGTGCTAAGCCAGTTTGACTATATGGAAATAGGAAAGGATACGAGGGGTAGATTTAAGTTCTGGGATATGAGGACGGAACGATGGAACAGTGCCCAACCACTGGTGGTGCACAGTCAAGCAGTCGCAAGTAGCAGTGAACACTTGTCGCAACCTGCCCACGATTTAGACCAAATCTTCAAACATTCAAGGTGAATGTGCTAAGGACTACTCCTTAAGTTGCCCCTTAAGAAACATTCTTAAGTCCACCTCCAATCGACAGAGAGGTTTGCTAATGTTCCAAGAATTGAGGTTATGGTACAGTATGAGTTAAGGAATCAGGTTTAGTTACAAGATGATGATGTAAACGAGTCTGGTCAAGTTAGAGGGAAACTCAAGACTGATTTACAGACGCCAGTACCAACGAGTATGGGCTAAGCATAGATGACAGCACTAGTTAATGAGCGAGGTGAAACTACAGCTGACACTACACGAGTCAGTGAGTCAAACCAGGTTCGGGGACGACACGTAACGAGTGAGGTCAGGTCAGGTCCAGACTACAGGTCACACCAGTGGCACTCAGGTCCAGTGCCAGCTTGAGGAAGCTGATACTGCCCTCGGTTTACCAAGTGATGAACACACGGAGAGCAGAATTATTAGTAAATAACATGGCATGAGGACTTGACAAAGAGCCCCGTGTTGTCCTGAAGGCGTGGCACTGTGCCTGTGATAAGGAGAGCCAAGGCACAGATAGCAGCACCCTGATATGGCTCGCCACAAGTGCCAGAGGAAATTGATGGCATGTATTGCCGTGCCCGGGGAGAGGGGGGGCGCGTCACAGCCACACCTCCTGGACACCCACAGGAGCCAGTGCCTACCACAGAGCCAGGGAAGGCAATATTGGCCAGTAACCAGACATGGAAAAGTATTTTCCCTTACCGTGAGCGCACAGAGCCGCCTGGCACCCCTCTCTCGCCTGCGTCACCGCCTCACACTGCCGCTCTCCTTCACACCACACACTAATATATTAATTACACCTCCACATCATTCAATTATCAAGTATTCAAGGAGATTTCGGACACTCCAGGCCAGTGTTATTGTAGTTATGCAATATTAAATAAGTATAATATCTATCAAAAAAACACATTAATCATAGAAAACGAACGTTGAGTAACTTAAGTATTTTTTTTATCATCACATTGGAGGGCGAAAATATCAAATGAATTTAGATGTAGGTCTATAACAAATGTAAGAAATGTGTAAACATTCCAGAAAAAAAAGATCTCGTTTACCTTATGGTTTTTCCATAGGCGGAAGATAGGAGGCCAGGTAAACCTACTGAGATTAGCGAGAGCAGCTAGGACCAGTCCCAGGGATATAGGGAGACTTACACCAGACGTCTGGGCAAGCCGTGACCGGGTCACCGGAAACGAGTACCTAAAATGTACCGGTATATGACCTGTGGCGGCCGTGTGGCGGCCGTTTGGCGTCGGGGACCTATACACGTTTTGAGAGCTTCTGGGGGACTTGCTTGTGTGGCCTGGACTCGGGGCCCAGGCGCCTGGGGCGGACGTCTCAGAGATAAAGATAAAGGTCACAATGGGATCCTTGCAAGAAAACATCAGCTAAGTTATAACTGACGATAAATAGGTAGCTGCCGCACTGAGTGGATACTTTACATCAGTGTTCACACTAGAAATATTAGAAAACGTCCCAACACCTTCACGGATCTTTGAAGCAGGAAAATTAAACGGGTCAAGGGCTATCTCCATAATAATAATGTCTATTCAGGTTAAAGTACATACGAAATGAGTTACAATGTTGCATTTCTAGATAGAGCTAGTATATACCATGCCTAAAGCCACTAGTACTCAAAGCGTTTCGGCAAGATGTGGAAAAACACTTAAAAAAATAAGAAACTAATTGAGATCAAAAGAATGAAGTGGACTGAAAAAGTTAAAAAAAAAGAAATACTGACAATAGTTTTATGTTGGATGGAACAGCAGAGATAGCAATAGATCAGCAGAAGTAATTTGAACTAGACTACATTTTTTTTATACATGTTTTTGTACAAGTTTATACCTTGAAGATATCAGCAGTTATACAAGTTGGTCAGTAGTCAGTATTGTTTGAAAATAGCAAGACATAGGTTGACATTTAGGAGGTAAGGTAGGTTACATGGAGTTTATTAGATAGTACTTAGTATTTCTCTTAAACTGATTGAGAGAGGTAGTCTTTGACATGATTGGGAAGGTCATTCCACATTCTGGGTACCTTAATTTGCAGAGCATTTGTAGATTGGTTAAGTCGCACTCTTAGAATATCAAATAGATATTTGTTTCTAGTGTGGTGTCCATGGGTTCTGTTACAACCTTCTTGGAAGCGTTTAAGGTCAGGATTGTCATTACAGTTCAAAGTTTTGTATATGTAGAGTACATTTGAGAAGATGTGCAGTGTCTTAATATTCAACATATTCAAGGATTTGAGTAAGGGAGCAGAGTGCTGTCTGAGACCAGAGTTTGTTATTGTTATAATAACAGATTTGTGTTTAGTAATTAGAGGACGTAGATGATTTTGGGTAGTAGATCCCCAAGCACAGATACCATAATTGAGATAATGATGAGAGGATAATAGAGCGTAACCAGGGCAGGGTGAGGTACATAATATCTGAGTTTAGAAAGAATACCAATTTTTTGTAAACTTCTTAGCTATATTTTGAATGTGGCCCTATAAATTTAGCTTATTGTCAATGAGAACACCAAGAAATTTACCATCTACTTTCTTACTAATATGGATATTGTTAATTCGTAGATTAATTAGATTTGAGGATTTATTACCAAACAAAAATATAGAAGATTTTGTCAATACTAAAGGTGAGTTTTTTAGCAGTTAACCAGAGATGGACTTTATTTAGTTCAGTATTCACTGTGTCATTGACAATAAGAGGGTTAGGACTGGAGTAAATGAAGGTTGTGTCATCAGCAAATAAAATTGGCTTGAGGTGTTGAAAGGCATTTGGAAGGTCATGAATGTAGATGATAAAGAGAAATGAGATGAGAAAATTACATGCAAGATAATTAGGAAGAACAAATTAAACGATTTCAATGCTCCTGATGTGGATGGAATTTTATTTAGAATCGTAAAAGAATTCTATTTACCACTGAAATTCCTATTCAGAAGTCCCTTGCCCGAGTAAAATTCCCCCAAGATTGGCAGTATGCAAAAGTCGCTTCTGTCTTATTCAAGAAAGGTAGAAGTACACCGGAAAACTACACATCAATCAGCCTAAACTCTCACACCTCCAAGGTCGTGGAGAAAATCCTAGTGACGGGGCGAACAATTATCCATCGTCATATCTGAATTTACCCAAGGGACACTAATACAGTGGCGTCGATGAGGACAGGAAGCCGGCGGCTTGTCGAAGGTCTCCCCATTTGCTTGGATGATCTTTTCCAGCTGGATTTTAAAATTTAACAGAGTTTTGGCCTTTGCGGCTTCGGCGGGTAGGCGGTTCCATGGGTTCTTCACCCTGTGGGTGAAGAAGCATCTCCTGTTCTCAGTCCTACACTGCGGCTTGTTGAGCTTAAAACCGTTGCTCCTTGTCTGTGTTACATCTGACCTTTTGAAGAAATTGTCTGGATCAACATCCTCCAAATTTATCAGTATTTTAAAAGTTTCAATAAGATCTGCCCTGTTATTATAGCTTGTGTAATTAGTTATGCCATTAAGATTATGAGATAATGGAGCGAGTATAGGTTTACTCGCTACATTCTTTATTGACAGGAGAGGAGCGTTAGTTTTTAAATAGCAGACGCCCAGTATACCAGAATATTGTGATAGAGTGTAGAGAGAATGTTAAGAAATTAGAAAAAAATGGGTATAAAGTAAGATTCATGTGGATCCCTTCACATGTGGGAATACTGTTGAATGAGGTAGTTGATGAAATAGCGAAGAGAGCCACGGAGAAAAACTTGTTGATGTTGTATGTCAGATAACCTTGAAACAAATAAAAGCAAGAATCAAGGTGATCCAAGAGAGTGAAGAAATGGTAAAGAGAATGGCAATGGTTGACAGGAGTAACATACTTAAGAATTGTTCATTAATAAATACACATTCGTCCTTCACCTATGGTAGAGGAAAGTCTACTTGGAAGGCTTCAATTTACATGAGATAAAGATTAGGATACAAATATATCTGGCAATACGGTGTTGATGTCAGTGAAAAAGATATGGAGTGTAAATTATGTAGTATGCCGCACGCCCACACCTTAGAACATTATGTATTAGAGTGTCAACTTATTGATAATTATAGAAATAATGAAATAAGTAATGTACCACATCAAATTGTTCGGATGTGTGATAATGGTATGATAGACAGTATACTTAGGAACTACAAGAATTTTGCCCCAAGAGTGTAGCACTTATATGCTGTGTTTACTATATTAACCTGCAATGTTAAATGGGATTCTTGTATTGTGAATTGTGTATTTGTACTCACTGAATTTGTGCGCCGCTTGAGGGACTTGAAGTAGGAGGAGGTAGAAATAGCCTAAGCTACTCTATCCCTTTGAGATGTATTTTTTCTTGTCTCAATAAACATACTTATACTTGAAAACAAATTAAACCAACGCATAAGTAACGTGCTAATTTTTCTGGGAATGGTGACTATCTACATACAAAGACCTTATATAATAATAATAATAATTATTATTATTATTATTTTACTGTAATAATTTCTTGCTTGAAAGATTCATCACTATGATAATTGTAACTTCCTTATAATATAGTTACATTATTTAGTTTATTATTTCAAATAATATGTAGTGAATTAAGTATATTAAAGCGGGATTGCAGCATTCAAATGTCTAACTGAATTAGTGTGAATGAAACTTAGATTCATTCACACTAACGGAAACGTTGTTTCTAGTGGCACCACAGAAGGCGTGCTCAGAGACCGGGCCCCCGGGGACGTTGATCCTCGCAACAAGTGCGAGGAATAGCAATTAAGACAACATGGGAGATCCCTACGACGCTAGGTACTGGGATCACAAACTGCTGGCTCCAGTACCACACCTTCTCACAAGAATTATATGGCCACGACGCACATAAACACCAGTAGCTAAATTTTACCCGATTTACCCGAGGGACACTAACCCCTAGTGGCTTCGACGAGGACAGGAAGCCGCCGGTTTGTCGAAGGCCTACCCCTCATTTCCCATGATGATCTTTTCCTGGTATATGTTAATGTGATACCTCACCACTTCAAATGGACCAAGCCATCACGGCCGGCCAACTGAGAATTCCGGACTCTGACTACAGGTACAGATTCGCACCACATTACAGCTCGGCAACTAGAAGCTCTGCCTGCACAAGGTTAATTAACAGTCAAGCTGAAGCTCAATGCAGTGCAGGTGCAGTGTTTACATGCAACGTGGAAATAACTGCACGTAGTCACATTGTAGAGGAGTGAGAGGTGGCACAGCAGCCGTGTTGTCTGCGGCTGTGGACACGTTACTGCTCTATACTGCTGGCATGAGAACCACGGAATGAACACGTGAGGGGGAGCAGACAGGGGACAGAAAAGGGGCAGGCAAGTGACAGACATGGGGCAGGCAGGTCGAAGACAGGGGACAGACATGTGGCAGAACGGTGGCAGACAGGGGGCAGAACGGTGGCAGACAGGGGGCAGAACGGTGGCAGACAGGGGGCAGACTCGGACAGACAGGGGGCAGAACGGTGGCAGACAGGGGGCTGGGCTTAAAAACATGTTTTTCAAAAAAATGTTTTTTAGAAAACCATTTTTCAGAAAACTTAAAAAAAAAATCAGATTTTTTTTAAACATGTTTTTAAATAACATATTTGTAAAAAAAAAACATGTTTTTCAGAAATTCATGTTTTTCAGAAAGCATATTTTTCAGAAAATGGTTTTTAGAAAACTTTTCAGAAAATTGTTACCAAAACTGTTTTCAGAAAACTGCTTTCAAAAAACTTTTTACAGGAAACCTTACAGAATGCTGTTTCTAGAGGATTGTTTCCAGAAAACTGTTTTTTGAGAACGC